AACAAAAAATCTACCCCAAAGAATCTACTTAGCCTGTTAATGAAGGCTTAAGTTACACACTCCTTGCAACCTCTGGTTGCTATTGAAAGATATTTTGTCTCTGACTAGTTGGTGAGTGTTTGCTGAAGGTCCCTGGATGTCCCTGGGTGAATACTCACAAAGAGGGTTCTTCACCACAAACCTCCTGGTGCCAGAAAATTAATTCTGTCCATCTTGGTGTAGCAATTAACATGCTAGCTAGCACGCAGTACGGAAAAAGTCAGCATAACGAAAATAAACTCCACCTAAACTTGGTTTATATCTGACCCAGAGAGACTGCAGATCATAACTTCTTACCTGAAGTTCAGTTCACACTTGGACCGGGCGGCCGCCTCGGGTCTCTTTTCCTTCTGCCTCCCTTTTCCTTCCTCCACCTGCTGCCCTCCACCACTTGCTAATGTTACTGAATCTGTGGAGGCTCCGCGATAGCCACCACACGAAGTAACGAGTAACGACCCTATCTAAATCCCAGTAACGACTAACGCGTTCCTGATTTTGGCATAATAACTAGTTACCATGCTCGTTACCACAATAATGACGTAGTTACTGTAACGTATTTAATAACGCGTTAGTCCCAACACTGATCATTACATCGAAAAGGCAGAAAACCTTCACATGTAGCATTTTCTTAAGTAAACAACTTTAATATCCTACATTTTTATAATTTAGATGATTTCTCTAACCCTTGGAATACTTTGAATATTTCACACATTTCCTCTGCTGTGAAGTTTATCAGAACTGATTGCATCAGGAACAACACTAACAGGAGGAAGGCAGAAGAAGAGACTGACACCAACATTTCACTGGTCACTGGGACACATATGGTGACTGTTTGAACATGTTAATGGTACAAAATGCGGTCTGTGATGTACTGATATGTTAGTGAGATGCTTCTGGAGGCTTAAAAAGAAGAAACACTTGATGTGCACTATTTCACTGCAAGTGGAGGATAGCCTTTTCCATTGCTATGTTACTGCTGTGGATGGCTAAGCTGGCTTATTTAAATATTATCATTCAGTTAAATATTAAGTATTTGAGTTTTTAATGACAAATCAGTCCAGTGCAGAAAACAATGGGCTGCGTGCTGTTACAAGTTTTTATATGAAAAATGGAGCTTCAAAAGACGTAAGCATTACCTTGCGTTGGACAGACTTACATAACTAGAAAAGTATATTGGACACAGAAAAGAGAAATGTAACTGTACAAAGAGCAAAATTTGTTTAAAGGTTTATATGAAATTTATCTGTATTTTATACTGTTAAACGTTTAATTAATTTTGCTTATGCTCCAAATAAATTCACTTAATAAATTAAACAATTAAATATTGCCCACTGTTTTTGTTCTATGTCCCCATAACAAACACACAAGACCCACCCTGGTAAATGTGGTTCGGAACTGTCAGTGAAATCTGGACTCTCATTCAGGAGGTTAGTAAAGGGAGTAAAGGGAGGTTCCCTATAAGGAAGAAGGGAATGTCCCTTTGCTTACGTCACGGCTGTGCGTGAAACTTTCACTTTCAGTTTGCGTTCACTCGCTGCCAGTGGCGCAGTTAATACGTAGTGATTAGTTTTTCTCCGCTTCTTATTTTCCTTCAGCTTAGTTATTTTTTATCGGCAGCTCACGTATCCTGGTATTGTTACTTGTATTATCAACCTTCTCTGTTGTTGTCCTGGTCGGTTTTTACTCTTTTAAGAAGATGTTTCTGTCGAGGCTCTGGATTCTGATCTCTCTCGCGATTGGAGCCGCCTCAGGTAAGTTGTCTCTAAAGTTTTCTAAAGGCATGTTATACTTTAAATATAGCCTCCCATTGAAGGCGTGTATTTTATACAAATATAACCTATAATCTCATATTTCAAGGTTTTACATGCATATAAGTAACAGTGATTTTTTTGTAAGAGGTGTATGGCAGCCATTTCTTTTTTGCTTACGATTTTCCCCTCAGCCTCCCCTCCCCGCCGTCAGAGCGGCCATTTCCAAGTCACATTTAAGCCAATGAATGCAAAATACTGCAAAACAACAGCACTATAAAATCTCTAAAAAGTAGCTTACACTGGTGGTTAATTTCATAACTTCATCGATTGTTATGTCAATTTCATAAATGTTTTAATGTTTAACTTTTAATCAAAAGTTTTGTTGATGAAGCTTAAAGGCAAACATCAAGTGCAGCACACAGAGGGAAACTTGTATTTGAATAAAACATTTACAAGATTAAAAATTGTAACATGAAAAGTTTTTTTCATTCATACAATTAAATTTGAGAAATCAAGTTGATCTTGGTTTCATTTTGCAGTCACCTATGAGAAACTGGGGGGTGAAGCTCTCCTAAAACCAGGCACAGTGTCTGGTACCATCACCAGCATCACCTGGAAACACGGCCCAGACATTGCTGTGGAGTGGTATGGAAAGGAAACATTCATGTACCGGGAGTTCAAAGGTACACTCACTCAAGACTTACCAGAAGATAGATACAGATCATGTAGAGCTATGAAAAAGTATTTGCCACCTTCCTGATCTCTTAGTTTTTGTCACAGGTGTCAGATTTAATATTACACAAAGATAATCCGGATAAAAACAAAATGCAATTTTTAAATGATGATTGTACACTGATGCTGTCATGCTGCCACTTTAAAAAAATCTTCTGTTTCACCCTCATTCAGTGTTTTTGGTAAATTGGAAGACAAAAATTTAAACAAATTTAAAGAAGAAAAGGAGCAAAAACCAAAAGCATAACTTAAAGTGTTCTTTGTTTAGTTTTGTCATTCAATTTTACCCCTGAGCTATAAAAGGCTGATGGGATGTTGTCATCCCCCTGCCAGGTGGGTGGGCAGGCCATGTGGTTACCTAAGTTTGTGAATGCAATAACTCGAGAACAAAGTGATTTAGGACTTTCACATTGATATCATAGGTGTATGACGAGTTCCAATCTCAGCTTCTCTGAATTCAAGGTCAGAGGTCAGGTTTTCTGAAACTCTCGTGAATGTGATTATTCAAGAAGAAAGACACATAGGGAGGTTAAGAGGTAATCGTGGCAGACGCCAGTATTTTTTCAGATTAAGATTAATGACATAAGGAATTCTGTCAATTTATTCCTGTTATTCATGTGTTTAATTAATATGTTAACTAACTGAAGCAAATGCGAAAGTTTTAGTGACATTTATAAATAAGTAAGAAAGGTACAAATAAAACATTATCCCATCAAATATAATAACATGATATGAATATTTGTTTTCTTTATGTATATCTTAACATGCCCTTACACTGTGAGAAATTGTGTAACCATCATGCTTTTAGATCGGTGTAAGCTTGATTTTAACACTGGAGCGCTGACCCTCTCAAACCTGACTGTAAAGGACAGCGGCATCTACACAGCAGAGATCAACAACAAAGTCATGAGCCCGACTGAAATCACAGTTATCTGTAAGTGGAGGAATTTGGACTGAAGTTTGCTTTGCATCATTTGTTTTTCACATGATTTTAAATAAAGAGCTTGTTTGTTTGCTCCCTTTTTCTATCAGCTGCTGTCCCCAAACCAGCGGTCTCCACACAGTGCAACTCTGAGGAGACCAGGTGCACTTTCACCTGTGAAGCCAACGTCACAGTTGCTGAACCAGTCACCTATTCGTGGATGGTCGATGACGAGAAGATAGACGAGTCAAGCAGAAGTCTTGAAAAAGAAAAGGTACAGACAGGATCTACTTGTTCACATAAGTCAGTTGCTTATTTTATTTTATTTTATTTTATTTTATGGACAGTTTTCTACCTAAAACACAGTGTGACAGTCAGGAAGTCAAAAACTGATGGACCTGTGATATTAGTTAGCCAGACAGCAACAAACTATATAGTGGATCTGACCCAAGTCTATTTTTTATTGCATTAATAAAACAGTTTACTATAGTTTATAACTATTTCATATGGTTACTTACATACTTTTATTTTGGATTTTCTGTAAATGGAGTTAAACTTTATCAGGGTGTATTTTGGCATCTTTGAATCGGTCTCTGGTGCTGTTGATGTTAATCTGTTGATTCTCTACAAACGCAAACATGTCTCGAATCTGTGTAAAATACAACAAATGTGTTTTTATTTATGAGCTTCTTTATCTTCTTTTAAATTCTAGGATGATCCAGAGATGGTTGGAAAACTAATCAGCTGTCAGCTGGAAAACCCAGTCAGCAGTGAACGCAGTGATGATGTCATCCCATTCACAAACAGTGAGTCATCACACCAACACACATCTTCATATTTATTGATAGTAACAGATTGATTATAGTTGTTTTGAAATTTTTCATTTAAAGATTAGGGTGTATCATTCCTGTAAACATTTGTAGTTTTATTCACTCTTTCTTTCATTTCCTTGTAGGTATTTGGTCGGGTGTGATCATAGGAGTGATTGTAGGGATCGTGATTGTGATTGTGATTATTGTGGTAGTTGTGTTACTCATCAGGTGCTGGTGCAGATGTGGAAGCAAAACTTTAAATGAAGGTAAGACTCCACAAAGCATGATCATGATTTTATTACATTTCACAGTTTTCTTTCATAGTTTTACTTTTTAATGTTCAGGTTTCAACTTCTTGAGATCCTTTAGTTTAATCTTTTATTTAATTTGATTATTTTCTGTTGAGCTTCATTCCTTTGTGCAGTTTTTGCATGTATGAGCTGTTTTATTCTGACATATTGGCTTATACTTTATTTTTTTCTACTTTATTTAATCTGTTATACATAGTTTGTTATCTGTAGTCCAGTCAGTGTTTTGCCTGCTTCACCAACAGGAGTTCTCAAACTTCTGGAATGAAATGTAACTTATTAACTCCATTGATTCAATTCAATTCAATTCAATTTTATTTATATAGCGCCAAATCACAACATAAGTCGCCTCAAGGCGCTTATTGATGTGGTCTGTCTGTGTAACACTGACTCTAAAGAGAAAATGCCAGTTATTGCTTTTTGGTTTTGATTCCTAAAAAGGATGAAAGGCTTCTAAGTAAGTTGACTTTTGAACTATGGAAACAATATATAGACAGTCAGCTACAGTTTCTCTGTCCATGTGTGCTTCTTTATTTCAGAAATGTCAGATTTTATTTCTAATGTCTTTTAAACTGCAGCCAGTGATTTTTATAGAGCTAATGCATAAGTAAACTCCTGCAGCAACAATACAAAGAGTCTAAAAGTAATATTCCTGAATCAGCTGGTGATACAAATAACTGAAGCTTTACTAGTGATTAAATGCATTACAGATTCATGTTTCACTTCTTTTTTCTTAAATTCTTAGATTGAATCTTTGCTCTGTAAGAGGTTATAAAATTGTCACGTGCTCATGTCATGTAATAGAAATGCAGCAAATATTTTCAAAAGCTGAAACAAGAGGAAAATGAATTTTCAGCTTTTATCTTGACTGACTTTATCTTTGACTCCATAAAAATATCCTGTTGTATTAAAGAAGCAAACGAGACAAACCTGCACTACAGAGAGTGTGAAAAACCTGTGACTCATGATTCATTCCTCATAACGAGAACAGTTTCAGAGTTCACCAGAATCTGTTGAGGTCACCTTCTCTTTACAATTTCCTCTGTACCAGTCATCAAGTCAGATCTGTAGGTTCATTGTTAATATAATCATGTAGTTGCTGTCACTATTTGACTTTTAATAGTGCAAATTTGGCAAAATGCAAACAAGCATAAGGTCTGTTAATGCCTGCATTTGGCAACTTGTGCCTTCAGCTTTCCAGCCTTAAAAATATTTCCAGAATGTATTTGTTAGTAACACAAAGTCACACTTTTGAAATCCCATAAAGATGTAAGTTTCACATAACCACATATATACATATGAAAACCTAAACATTAAAGCAAAGAAAAACTGCCAGTCGTAGTCAGTCATGATCACTAATGAGAAGCCCCATTTATTAAAAGATTTCAGTGAGCATTTGTGTATATTTGAGCCTGTATGGAGTAGTCAAAATGAATGAAAAACTTGTTTGTTTTTGAAGTATTTTATAAGGAGTGAACATTAAGCATTGTGCTCTCGCTGTTTCTAACAGTGGAATATAAGGAGCAGAATTCCCCACAAACCAGAAATGGTGAGTAAAACATAAATCACAAATACATAATCAACAGATTTCTTTCTGCCTTCTTTTTCTTAAAGGTCAAAAAGTCTGTTGACCTTTATAAAGACTCTAGGGCCATTGTCCATTTGTAGTGCTTAAAGGAGGAGGAGTTAGGAGTCCTCCTTCTGCTTGGTGAAAGTGATTCAATGGTCCTTCACAGGAACACAACATGACTCACATGTTTATGTAGGACATGTTGTGAAGCACGAAGCTGCACCCACAGATACTTAAAAGCAGTCAGCAGAACATGTGCTGTGATTCTGACTGTTTTTAATCATTTCAATCATCTTTTTTGTCATTTGACAGGAGTACAACAAAGTAGTTCAGAGATCATAAATGAAACAGCCCAAGAAACAGTAGAGCTCAGAGCTCTCAGCAATGAACCAGGTGAGTAAACTGTAGTGTCTCAGCTTTCATGCTCGTTATTTTCCAGGTTTTTCAGTGAGTTAACGCACACGTCTTTGTGTTTCATAAGTGTGTATTGAAACTTATGACAAATAATTTTAGGGCAGTTTATTCAGTTTGTTCAGGAAAAACCCACACTGGAGATCTCCAAAACTCTCAAAACTTCATGTATCAAATATGATATGACGGTCTTACAGGGTTAATGACTCTTTTCTCCTGGGTGGAATGATTGTACAGCAGACGTCTTTAATGACTTTAAAAACAAGAATCATGTGCACACGTTTGAATTTCTTTAGGATTTTCTCTAATCCACTCAGGATCAGCAGCACACATACGCCCACTGATATTTGGGTAAATGTCTTTTAGCATGTGGCACCTCAGCCAGATGCTTTTGGTAGTCATCGCCAAGGTTGTGGTGTAATTCTGTCTAATATGTGACCGCTCTTCGTGGCAGAACTGGTATATTTTCGATAAAGTTGCGGTCGAGGCTTTGGGAAAGTTTCCCGCTGTCCTGAATATTGGTCAGTCCAACGAGTGCTGTCCAAAACATGCTCTTTATGCTGCAAAGAGAAACTGCCAGTCGTAGTCAGTCACAATCATTAATGAGAGACTAATGGAAAGTGTAGCAACTTTAGCATCACTTATTTAAAAAGTGAATGCACATTTATATATTTGATCCTGTGTGGATTAGAGAAAATGTAAACTAAAATGTTTGTTTGTTTTTTTCCTGAAATATTTTATCAACCAGGAGCAGAATTTGTGAGAACATGTGTTGTGATTCTGACTGTTTTTAATCATTTCACAGAAATGGCACAAAGTTCAGACTCCCCACATGAATCCGGACCAGCCCAAACACCTGCAGAGCTCAGAGCTCTCAGCAATGAACCAGGTGAGTAAACTGTAGTGTCTCAGCTTTCATGCTCGTTATTTTTCGGGTTTTTTCAGTTGGCTGTAACAAAAGTGAAGATGTGTTTGGATCCTATGTTGCATTTATTAAGGTAGCTATTTCAAAAGTGTGTTGATTTACAATGAATATTGTTTTTAATATTCATTGTACTTAACAATTTTACATAGAAATGAATTTATTTATTTTAATTCTAAAGTCTCGTCTTTTTAAATATGACCTAAAATTATCGGACAAACCTGTGATGCTTTATTAGGTACATATCTGGCCACTTTGGTAGATATACCACTGGCCACTTTATTAAGTAGATCAGTAGCCACTTAATTAGGTGTTGCAGTAGCCAACAACTCAACAGATGAGCCAGGATGGTCATGACATACACTTCTGTTATTTTCCTACAGAGAAGGAGAGTTTGCTTCCTAAAGACACCAATGGAACTGGTGAGTACAATCTGAAGTTTTCCTGAGCACTAGGATCAGACACCATGCTCCTCTGTGGTTACTTATATTTGGGTAAATGTGTTTTAGCATGTTGCATATCGGCCAGATGCTGGTTTAGATGCAGATGTGGTATAATTCTGTCTAATATGTGACAGCTCTCCTTGGCAGAACTGGTAGATTTTCAAAAAAGTTTAGGTGGAGGCTTTGGGAGATGTTAATCGACAGTCTAGTAACTTTAGCACCACTTGGGAAAAAATAATGAATGTGCGTATGTACTTGACCCAGTGGGGATTGGAGAAAGTCTCAAATAAAATGTTTGGTTGTTTACTTTTTTCCTGAATTATTTAGTCAAAACTGAGCATAATTTGTGTGTTCAATGCATTTTTTAACGGTCAGCAGAATGAGACAACAGAAACCGGTAATGAGGATGTTGAGTCCTATAAATTACAAATACAGAATCGACAGTCAAATCTGAGTTCTTTGTTAAGAAGAAGTTTGCTGACCTTCATAAAGACTCCAGGGTCACTGTCCATTTGTAGTGCTTGCTTTGTCCAAGAATGACGGACATGCTTCATTTGTGAATATGTGGCGGTTGTTATGCTTGTGACTGCACATTAAGCCTACCAAACTGATGCACTGATTTTACCCGCAGTTAGGTAGCTTCCTTCTGCTGGCTCAAAGTGATTCAGTGGTCCCTCACAAGAACACAACGTGGTTCACATATTTGTGTAGGATATGTTGTAAAGCACAAAGCTGCACCCACAGATACTTAAAAGCAGTCAGCAGAACATGTGTTGTGATTCTGACTGTTTTTAATCATTTCAATCATCTTTTTTGTCATTTCACAGAAATGGCACAAAGTTCAGACTCCCCACATGAATCCGGACCAGCCCAAACACCTGAAGAGCTCAGAGCTCCTGGCAATGAACCAGGTGAGTAAACTGTAGTGTCTCAGCTTTCATGCTCGTTATTTTCCAGGTTTTTCAGTGAGTTAACGCACACGTCTTTGTGTTTCATAAGTGTGTATTGAAACTTATGACAAATAATTTTAGGGCAGTTTATTCAGTTTGTTCAGGAAAAACCCACACTGGAGATCTCCAAAACTCTCAAAACTTCATGTATCAAATATGATATGACGGTCTTACAGGGTTAATGACTCTTTTCTCCTGGGTGGAATGATTGTACAGCAGACGTCTTTAATGACTTTAAAAACAAGAATCATGTGCACACGTTTGAATTTCTTTAGGATTTTCTCTAATCCACTCAGGATCAGCAGCACACATACGCCCACTGATATTTGGGTAAATGTCTTTTAGCATGTGGCACCTCAGCCAGATGCTTTTGGTAGTCATCGCCAAGGTTGTGGTGTAATTCTGTCTAATATGTGACCGCTCTTCGTGGCAGAACTGGTATATTTTCGATAAAGTTGCGGTCGAGGCTTTGGGAAAGTTTCCCGCTGTCCTGAATATTGGTCAGTCCAACGAGTGCTGTCCAAAACATGCTCTTTATGCTGCAAAGAGAAACTGCCAGTCGTAGTCAGTCACAATCATTAATGAGAGACTAATGGAAAGTGTAGCAACTTTAGCATCACTTATTTAAAAAGTGAATGCACATTTATATATTTGATCCTGTGTGGATTAGAGAAAATGTAAACTAAAATGTTTGTTTGTTTTTTTCCTGAAATATTTTATCAACCAGGAGCAGAATGTAGCTTCCTTCTGCTGGCTCAAAGTGATTCAGTGGTCCCTCACAAGAACACAACGTGGTTCACATATTTGTGTAGGATATGTTGTAAAGCACAAAGCTGCACCCACAGATACTTAAAAGCAGTGTGTCAGAGGAATCATTGTGGTGAAACCTTTTTCCTCATTTAACAGACACGTCTGAAGAAGGGACACCTGGACTGGAGGAACATCCAGAGGACTAAAGCTGAGGACCAGAGGATCGTCCCCTTTGACAGTGACTTTTGCACAAAAATGACTTATGAGATAATTACAAAGTGCACACTGTTCGAGAAGGGAACACAAACGTTACTGCATACTTGAAATTTACTGTGTCACTAAACAAACTTTCTATTCCTTTCTATTTCTTTCTATGATATTTTGGACCATAAGTTATGAGTTTAGGTGTTTCTTAGCTCAGGTCTTGTTGAGCGGACATTATGATGCTCACGCTTATGTTTGCACAAGTGTCTGTCTTTGAGTCAGGAATCCAGCAGTACTGGCATTTGAATGTTTCCTGCTGGACTTTTAGCACATCTCATTAATGGCAGCTGACTTCTTCGCTATGCAACAACTTTTTTACCCTCATGGAGCACTTAAGATGTGGCTGTATCACAGGGGGTAGAGCAGATCATCTACTAGCTGGAAGTTGGTAGTTTCATCCCTGCCTGCTCCAGTCTGCAAGTCTAATTCTTATTGGGCAAGACAATGAAGCTTGCTGTGCTATCCAATGTGTTCAGAGTGAGTGTGCGTGAATGTTAGACAGAAAGCATTTGGGTAGAAATAAGTGGTATGAATGAGACATGTTTAAAACCCTTTGAGTGCTCATGTAGAGTAGAAGAGCCCTGTTTACCATAGTAACTTGGGACAGGTTTAGTTTTAATTGTAATTGGACTCATGAAAGAAGCCTGAACACGGGGGATACATGTAAGAAGAGGTTAGCAGCAGTGTGACCTCCAGAAGCATCTGTGATGTTTCGAAACTTGAAGTGAAAATGGGAGTTAAAGATTTGAGGAGACAAACTAAAAGCAGTGTTAGTGAGTGACAGATGAAGGAGTTGGGTACATTACAACAGGGGTGTTAAGCTCTTTGTACTGTAGTTCACATACAGTTCTGCTTAGAGTGAGCAGATCCCAAAATCAATTTTGGTCATTTCTCCTCTTTTTGTTTTGAATAAATTATGATAAACACTGTAGTTTTGACAGAACACAGAGTATATGCTTCATTTTCTCAGAGATAGTATCATGTTAAAAAAAGTTAAACTGTATGACTTCGAAACCACTGTCTCGAGATGTGGGACGGAGGAGAAAGAATAAAGATGTGATGCAGTCCCAGTTAAGGAGGGACATCTGGTACCACTACTTTAGCAGGTTTCACTGCATTATAAGGTTTTTCCTTCTTCAAGTATGAAGAAGTATGTTCTGCAAGACGTTCACCTGAGCCAGAGCTAAGATATTAGAAAACCTAAAACTGTACATTTGAGTGAAAAATACATCAAAGTTCGAATGCATTTCCCTCCTCTGTACAGTAGGCTGCCTCTTTCATCAGCCTGGCATTAACATACTGAGAAATGTGACTAATTATTGTCTTGTCTGCAGCGTTCACACTTTAGAAAACCTTCAAGTGAGCTGATTCTTGTCCTGGCCTGTTGTGGCTTGTTTGACACCCCTGCAGTAGAGGGTTAGCAAAACACAGCCTGAAATGTCCTTTCATTTCTATTATGAGATATAGGAAATTAAAAAAAAAAAAATCCTTAGCTTTATTTTTGTTATTTCAGTATTGTACCAAAAAGGGATTTTAGTGTCTGGTGCTACACTGAAGGCGACTGTTAGTGGTGCAAAATGCTTCATCGCACTGATGCTACCTGGAATGCACTGTTAAACTATGCTTTAATTTCAGTGTCACCCACAGACCAACTGTGACTGTTTGAACTCATTAATAATACAAAAAGCTGCCTGTAAATTTTTCATACACTAGAGATACTGTGCCGATGTCTCCACGCTCAATCTTCCAGAAAGACTTACAGATGATTAATGTAAAATGTCAAAAATCTGACCCATGATACGTTTTTAATAATTTATATTACGTATTTATGAATGTTACGCTGCTTCGGATTTACATGGGTTACACGGATGGAGGGACACCACACACACAGCTGTTCCATCCATCCATCTTTTCTCTTCAACTTATCCAGTTCAGGGTTGTGTGTGTGTGTGTGTGTGTGTGTGTGTGTGTGTGTGTGTGTGTGTGTGTGTGTGTGTGTGTGTGTGTCTAATAATGGATAGTTTGCTTTAATAAAAATCTTTAGCTTAGATAATCATATGAATTTGTATCATGTGTTTAAAAAAGCCTGTGGTTGCACATTGATGGTTTTAAAGAATGTGGTTATCTGTGTACATATGTTTATACTGTTTATATGTGATTTCTATTTATTATTTACATTGCTGCAACTTTAGATGTAATGAAATATGGTGTTAGCATTACTGCAAACACTAAAGTGCCTCTTTCTGTTTGACACCTTTTATCTGTATGCATCCTTTTAATTTGAGCTTTTTAAACCCCAAACATCAACTTTACACATTGCTCTAATGTCCAACACATTTACTGCCGTGAGAGAGCAATCTGGCCTCAGGTGCAGTGCAAATGGTGTGTGACAAGTGATCAATTTTATTTTAACTTGTCAAAACAATAAATTTCTTATGTCAAAGTAAGAGATTGAACTTGTGTTTCAATGAAGTGATTTACTCTGCATTTTCATGCCATACAAACATGTTGGGAAATTGTTCTTACGACTCTGATATTTTCCTGTGTTTTAAAGTGCATCCCACCCAGCACATCAGCTGTTACCCTCAGGAAAGCAGTAGCAGACAATAAAAGCCTGTGTGGAAAACATCCCAGTAGTCCAGCTTCCTCACTTTTCCCCCCAGAAACCCTCCAGTAATGGTAGAGTAATGTAGTGGAAGAAGTACTCTTAATTATGGAGTTTTTAAGTAATAAATTCAGGGTGGTTCTAGGATCGAGACATGCAATTAATAATGCTTGCAAACATATCCAGTCCTTCTCACCTTTATAAGCCACAGTTGAACTGGGTTCACATTTTAATGTTAACTTTGAAAGCAGCCTAACTATTTGGATGACCTATTGTAGTTGCTAATTAATGAATATGTTCTATTTATAACATGAAATCATCATCAGTGAATGTGAGCGAAACAGAAGCTGCAAGCTACTTTAACTTTGTGTCCATTCTTATCTCTTTCTGTTTGCTCTTTCCTTATCTTCATTCTTCTTCTTTGTGCTGTCGCCAAAAGGTAAATGTAACAGAGAAACAGTATTTACTACGGTGGCCCTGAGAGGCCAAACGGACTGCAACTTCAGAAAACACTTGCAAAAAGAAAAATGCTGCAAAAAGAAAAATGCTGCAAAAAGAAAAACGCTGCAAAAAGAAAAACGCTGCAAAAGCACACAAAGCACAACGGAAATAGGAAAAAAGACAACGGAAATAGGAAAAAAGACAACGGAAATAGGAAAAAAGACAACGGAAATGTTTCTGGGGAGACAATAACCGGACGGACCAGTTGCACGAACCAAAACATGCTAACAAGTGCACTGGGACTGGGAGACACTTCAAAGAAGTGGAGCGGCCAAAGAGTAAACTTTCAAAAGTAAGTTCTGAATATTATGTCACTTATTTATGTGCAAATGTTAGCCGTTAGATAGTCGACCTTAATCTTACAGAGAATGTGATGATTTTGTGGATAATTAAAGTCAGTCATATATCCACAAACACAACAGGCTGAAAGTCAGTGATGCTGCTCAGTTTGCAATCCTGAATATCACGGCACAAGCAGGATTCACTGCACTGTTAATGTTCGCTATGTTATATTGCTGCCTCTGTTCGGTGGTGTCGAGCCAAACGGACTTTAACGTGTGTTTGAACGAGCTGACGGTTCACTCGTTAAGCTGAAAGAAAGATGCTTTAATCACAGCATCACACATGTGTCCACTGCACCATCTGGGAACTCTTCTTGTTTAGCACTCGTAATAACACAAACACTAAATCCTCCTGTTTGTAGCAGTGTATACAGCCTGAGACTGTCACCTGTCTGTCTGTCCTGCACTCTCTCTCTGTTTCTTTCTCTCTGATTGTGGAATAAAAGTATGAACATGTGTTTATAAGTTACACTTGTGTTTGAATCCTGCAGCTTATCACACATTTGATTTCCATGTGTGACAACTGCAAGTGTCCAGAGTGAGGACAGACTGAGGGACCCACTGCTGCACATCATCTGTGAGGCTTTGCACCCCTGATGATCCACCGAACTCAACAGTGTGTGAGGAAGAGGAGGAGGAAGAGCCAGCAGCAGCTGACAGATGGAGAGAATAGACAGACTGTTCCCTGTTTGTGAAGGACTGCTAGGAAAGTTTAACATAACTGTCTGTCCTGAATCAGTCTTATTAGGTAATGTTCAAATAATTTTATCATTCCAGTGTTTTCAGTGTGGGAGAAAGTACTCAGGGCCTTCAAGTTACACACTATGAAAGGCAGCAACAAGTTTAATATTCAGAAACCTAAAGAGATAGCAGAATGAGAAAATAGTTTTTCAGTTCATAAGCTATTGGAAGTAGATCTTTGTGCTCATTGCTTAATTATATGTATAATCTGATGTTGATCAGGTAACATTTCTAAAGTGATGTTCTATGAAGCTTTGAGTATTTTGGATTAGTAGCACTGCTGTGTTTGTTGCATCATATTGCTGTAATTGTTTATATGCTTTATATATTCTGAGGTAAGTTGATCTATAGTGTTACATCATATTCTATAAGGATGTTATGTGTTTGTAGACTTTCTGCCCAGTTTGACCCATTTAACAGAAGTCAGCCTGTTTAAGGCTCTGATATCTATTCTGTATGACTTAAAGCAGTTATGACATGGTCTGATTTTCTCACCCAATAAAGGAATATTTCATATATCAGTCTACTCTTCATTTTATCAGAAACAGTTTTCACAGCTCGTACATTTTCTTTTTACACATATATGTAAGCATTGAGCCAAATTTAGTAATGCCAACATATTAAAAGAACAATATTTGTCTCTTATATATAATACATCTATATATACACTGTCACAGATACTTGTGTTTAAGTGAAGATTTAAGGTGATAGGAAATATAAATAAATGCAACTTGAATCTTTACTGAAGCTCAGTGTTTGGCACAGAGTTCATGTTCACTGCTGTAATAACTAATAATGATTAATATAATATTGGCCATATTATATTTACATTACCAAAGTGAGATGACTTTAGTCTCATGAACAAGATTAGCTAATTGTTATTTACTAGCTAATCTTAAATGACTGTTCAGTACAAAAATGAAGCCCAACAATCATGTTTTACAGTCCTGTGGTCTCAGCCTCAGATACTTATCAAATCACACAAAGCTCATGTAGAAACAAATGTACAAAATATGTTCTCCTTCATTTCTGTCAAACAAAGCTGTATGAAACGTTTCCAGCTGTTAGTATCATGGTTGCTAGGCAACCTGGGCAGCGCGACGGAGGCTAGACCGTCCCATTTCACAAGCCTACAAGCCTCGCACTTCCGGCCTCAGCAGTCTTTGAGTGCGGCCCTTGAGGACCTTTAAGGCTGCAGACCCTGAATTGGGAAACAGTCCCTGAATTGGGATACAGCCATACATACATGTTTTGGTTCGTGCAACTGGTCCGTTCGGTTATTGTCTCCCCAGAAACATTTCCGTTGTCTTTTTTCCTATTTCCGTTGTGCTTTGTGTGCTTTTGCAGCATTTTTCTTTTTGCAGCGTTTTTCTTTTTGCAGCGTTTTTCTTTTTGCAGCGTTTTTCTTTTTGCAGCATTTTTCTTTTTGCAGCATTTTTTCTTTTTGCAGCATTTTTTCTTTTTGCAGCATTTTTCTTTTTGCAAGTGTTTTTCTTTTTGCAGCATTTTTTCTTTTTGCAAGTGTTTTCTGAAGTTGCAGTCCGTTTGGCCTCTCAGGGCCACCGTAATTTACAGCCTAATAAAGGCTGATTTATGCTCACTTTATGACAATACTCTGACTGAATATGGGCCTCTGCTAGACACTGACAGTCCTTCTGAGTTGGGCCTGAGGATCCTCAAAAAGGGTCTGAACTGATTAAAATGTGGTAATGGAAAGTTTTACAATCCTTTTAAAAACATATTTTCAAACTATAGCCAGCAAACAAATAAACATGTATAATAAAAAGTAATATATCCTCTTTCATAAGTCCACCAGAGGTCGCCACACACTCATTTCCCACTGCCATTCAAACACATTTGGAAAACTTAAAGAATCTGATGCGACTTTTTATAGTTATACTCTAACTAAAACCTTCACCATCAGGGGGCGACATTTTATCAGTTGGGTTCACTCGTTGAACTTTTTTTAACTTTTCTTTTTAGTCTAAAATGTGTTGGAAGATTACACCAGGGGTAGGTAACTACAGGACTCAAAAGCCAGTGTTCTGCAGGTTTAGATCTCACCCTGGGTCAGAATGATTAGTTCATTACCAGGCATCTGAAGAACTTCAAGACATGTCGAGGAGGTAATTTAGCAATTTAAATCAGCTGTGTAGGATCAAGGACACATCTAAAACCTGCAGGATACCTTGAGTCCTGGAGTTTCCCCACCCCTGGATTACACAGACCCACTCCATCATCTAGGAGTCGCAAAATTTACATCACTCATACCCAGGAGAAATCCTATTAGAGTCACAGCTACAGAAAGTATAATCCCTGCTTTACCAGGCCAGTCAGTGGATTGACAATTACCTGGTGGTCACTAGCATCCCTTTGTTAGTCACTGGGATTCCAAGGATAGCTAGTCATTTGCACTTAAAAGCTGAAGAAATGGAGAATAATTATTATGCACATAGGTGTTTTAAAATGAAAACACAGTGAATAGTTACAAAAACATATAGTTAGATCAGTTGGGGCTGAATAGCCGAGGGTTGCTGGTGACTAACCTGTCCATTGGGTTGCAGAGGTAGAAGAATCAGGCCCCGGCTTTGACACAGACAGCATCTCCTCTGTCTTCAGATTTATGGCCTCTGGTAGCGACTCCAAACTCGTGAGCTCAGTGGCTTATAGTATTTAAACTAATGTGTCTGAACACATAAGTGTGTCCTCCCAGCAGCTAGGGCAGCTAGAATCTGCAGGGATGAAAAGGTGCAATGATGATAACATGGCACAGAATATGCAAGGAAAGTTTCCAGATTTGAATCTGGCCGTCTCCTAGCAGTTTATCAGCCATTATTTGTGTCACCTGGTGGCTGAAGGTCAACAAGCCTTCTTTAAAAAAGTGACACAGAGCTTATTTTTCTTCTTCTTTGGAGGTCGGTGGGAGGACACACTTATGTGTTCAAACACATTAGTTCACATACTGTAAGTGCTAACTTCAAGACAAGTCTTCCTGAGCTTGACAGCCCAGAGCTGGAAAGAAGATGGATAAAATTTAAATTTTGAAGCATGAAGGACAGGGAGGGTCCCACCAAACAACACCTTTCAAGGAGAGCGAGTGATGATTGAACGACAGTAGAAAGTGGACCTACTTTTACATGTGCAGACAGGACTGACAGGGAAATGAGGAGCATGGGAACCAAACACGGACAGATTTTTCTGTTCAGTCGTATAGTTCAGTTCTGAATACAACTTGCTATAAGTCTCACCTGCTTTCTAATCTAAATTTGAGCAGCTCAAGTGACACATTTGTAGGTTGATGGATCCTAGATTGTATATGTTTTTTAATGATTTGGTGTTGAGGAGTGAAAAATACAAAGATTCAGAGAAAGTGCCCACCAAGGTGCATACATATCATCATGACTGACTTTTAGAGGAAGAAATGTGTCTCCACAAACAGG